CACTAAAACAGAGCCGCGGCTGTCGCACGCCCAGCCCCGGCCACCCTTTTGCAGGTGCGGGAGCGCCTGGCCCGGAGCGCCTGCAGCCTCGCACCTCCCCCGGCCTGCCCGGGCGAGCAGGCGGCCTCCCGCTCCAGCGCCGCCGCCGCCCCCGCACACCGTCTGTCTTCCTCCTCCGCGCCCTGCGCCTCCCACGCACGCGGAGCCCCGCCGCGCTCCCCTTCCTCCTCCCAGCCTTTCTGCCTCCACCGGCTCAGCTTCCCTCTGCTCTCCCTGTCTCGCCATCTCTCCCGTGCATCTCTGCACCTCTGACTCCCCGGGCGGTCTCTCAGGCTCTCTGACTCAGTGACGGACTCCCCCTAGCTCTCCATCTGCCCCTGTCTAGGTCTCGGCCTCAGGGCTGTGAGAGCTCGGGTTTGGCCCGGGTTACCACCCCAACCCCATCTCTCACGCCCACGAGGCAGGGCAATGGCGAGGAGTGTCCTTTCGTTCTGGTCCTTCTTGTAGTCTAACCGGCTTCTCTGCTGCTGCTGTTGCTGCTGCGACCCCACAGGCCCTCTCCTTCCCCAGCACCCCTCCGCAGGCTTCCCCGGCTGGGACACCCTCTGTCCCCCGCCCCCGTCCAAGCTTCCAGCGGTGGCTTCAGGAGATGGAGAACAGGAGGCTAATTAGCGTTTAGGGAAACACATCCTTCCTCTGACGGGCAGGCGCTAATTACAGGCGCTTTGAAACAACCAGGCTTGGAGGGGCGGCCTGCGCAGGATCAACACAGAGGAGGGACTCCCAGAGATGGGGGGCCGGGAGCTGGGGGGAGCGTGCAAGAGAGAGACAGACAGTTATGGAAGGGAGAGACTCAGGCTCAGGGAAGGGGAGACCCTCCGGACGCCGCAGGGAGGAGCTGGGTCTGTAAGAGGTGAGAGCCGGGTCTGTAAGAGGTGAGGTCCAGGCCTGAGGGCCCCAGGGGCAGGAGAGGGTGGCAGACGGAGAGCAAAGCTCCTTCATTTGGCCTCTGGAAGTCCTGCCCTCATCTGACTTCAGTCCCTCTTCCTGTCCCCTGCCAGTTGGGTTTTTCTTGCATCTGGGTCCCCTGAGGGCACGCCTGCCAGGGCGCTAGTTGGCGTGCATGACACTGCATGTCAATCACTGTGTCAGTGGATCACGGCGTGTCTGGGAGGGAGTGCGCGGCGGAGGTGTGTGTGTCACCCTGTCAGCGTGTCACTGTGTCGGCTGTGTGTGTGTGCCAGAGTGTGGGGAGCATGTCTTAGGGGACCCCCTCCTTGCCACGCCATTTCAGCACCGCGGACAGCTCCCAGCTCACTTCCAAGGGTGGGGGCGGTTGTTTTTTGCACCTGAGGAAAACCAACCGCTGAAACCTGGAGGCTGGCGGTGGGCCTGTGTCCCCACGTGACGCCGTCTGTGTGCACCCGTCTTTGCAAGGCCGTTGTCACTGTGTCCTCTGCATGTTTGTGTGTTGAGATGCATCTCCAATGACTGGCTCATGGAAACCCTTCTGCTTGGGCTGTTGTGTTTATTCCGTTGCTGAGAAGCCTAGGTGGGAGAGGGACCAGATGAGGAAAGGCAGAGGCCTGCGTGGTGGGGAGCAGTGGGGAGCACTCCGTGAGGCTGAGGCCCATCCCCAGGCCTCCCTGTGCACCCTGGTGCGTGCACCTGCCCATGGTCTGGGGGTAGAGTCTCAGCGTGAAGACCCTGCGGGCGATGCCAGTCTGCGCCTGACCTTCACTCTCTCTCCCTCCCTCATGGAAGAAAGAAATAAAAATAAGCTAATTTCTAAAAAATGATTATTTCATTTTATCTTTATTTATTTATTTTATTTTTTAATTTGACCAGAGAGGAACAGAGAGAGAGAAGGAAACTGAGAAAGCAAGCCAACAGATCCGGGACTTGAACCACAGTCGGCCATGTGGGAGTCCAGCGTCCTTAACCACCACACCACCTGTCGGTCCCTGAATAAGCTAAATTTTTAAAAAAGAGAAGAAAGAAAAGAAAAAGAAAAAGATGGAATGAACAGGTGGTGTGGCAGTTAGGGACTCTGGACTCCTACATGGGCAGTCAGGGTTCGAGTCAGGGTTCGAGTCCTGAACCTGACAGCTCGCTTCTCACTTTCTTGCTCTCTCTGTCTCACTCTCACTCTGCCCTTCTCTGATCAAATTAAAAATAAATAAGTAAATAAAGTTAAGAGAAAATCGTTCTTTTTAAAGGCCAGCTCAGTGGGTGGTGGTTAAGGCACTGGATCCCACATCTCTGACTGCAACGTTGGCATCCCGGACCAAGTGGCTCGAAATACATGCCAAGGGGACCAGCAGTTAGCGTAATGGCTATGTCGCTGGACTCCCATGTAGTCGACCGCAGTTTGAGTCCCAGACCCAGTGGCTTAAACTCACACTGCGTGCGTGCCCAAGATCCTGAGAGGAGAATGGAGGAGAAGGGATTGCAGTGTGGCCATCCCCACTGGGGGGTGATTTCTCACTTTCTGTCTCTCTGTCTCTGTCTTTCTGGCAAGTGCACACGCCCTGTAGCAAACACCTCTCCAAAAAGGAAGAAAGGAAGAAAGGAAGGAAGGAAGGAAGACAGACAGACAGACAGACACGCCAGGCACATGTGCGTATGTGCCCAAAATCCCCAGAGGAGAAAGGGGAAGGGAGTGCAGTGTGGCCATCTCCCTCTCAGACGCCTTCTTCCCCTCTCTCTCTGCCTCTCTCTGGTGAGCACATGCACCCTTTAGCAATTTCTATTTATTTTATTTTTAAAGAATTATTTTAACTTTTATTTATTTTTATCATTATTTTCAGTATTTTTAGACAGAGACACAGAGAGAGAGGGCAAGTGAGAAAGCAAGCCTTCAGATCCAGGACTCGAACCATGGTCAGCCATGTGGGAGTCCAGCACCCTTAACCACCACGCCACCTGCCGGCCCCGTCTAGCAAATTTTAAAAGAAGGTCAGAGAGATGGAGAGTCTGAGACAGAGAGAGAGCCAGAAACAGTCAGAGAGATGGAGAGATAAAGAAACGCAGAGACGCTAAGAGCGAGGCAGAGAGGAAGAGGCAAGTGGAAAAAGCGACTGCGAGGCGGAGAGAGATACCGGAGGGACTAGGCGGGGCACAGGGACGGGGATGGGGAAGGAGAGTCTGCCAGCCACAGTGGGAGTTCGCAGGCCGGCGGTGGCTGGCGCGAGGCTGCGGTGGGGGTGTCGCTAACCAGCGGGCATCTGTCTGTGCAGTTGTGCCCCTGCAGAGGGAATGGCTGTGGCAGGGGTGGCGGGGGGGGGGGGGGTGTGGCAGGGGGGGGGCGTGGTGCGGTGTGCCTGGCAGCGCTGCCTCTACTGGGTGACTGTGTGGGCTGGTGTTTGTGCCTCTGGGTTCTGGGGCCAGGCCTGGCAGGGCGACGTTCCTACAGCTGAAGGAGTTGCCTGTGGCAAAGCTGTGGGCAGCCCGGCTGGGTGCGGGTGCGTCTGTGATGGGGAGGGGTGTGCCCAGGGGACAGGTAACTCCTGGCTGTTCCCTGCCACTCCCTGGTTACCATGGGAGCAGACATGCTGGGAAAATCCATTACCACTCCGTTAAGCCTCCACCCAGATGTGGCCAGGACAGAGGGCCGGAAGGGGACGGGTTTCCGCCCTGAAGGATGGCGTTAACCCAGCATTTGTGGTGGGCATACTTTAGGCAGGCCCTGACCGAGGTGTTGGGACTACAGCAAAGAGCTTAGATGAGTCTACCTGACTGCCATTGTAAGCAGGGAGCACATGACAACCAGTGGCACGCGACAGTAAAGCCTGTGTGAGGTGGTGCCTCCGAAGATGGTGTGCAAAGAAAGCGGCCAGGAAACCAGCGAGGCGCGCTGGCCTGGGGCGGGGCGGGGGTGGGTTCTGGTATCAGTGGTGGGAGCTGGCCTCAGTGAGGGGGGTCTGAGGGACCCCCGAAGGCTGAGTCTGGGGGAAACAGCCTTCGCAAAGGCCCGGAGGCACGTGTGGGCCTGTCCGTTCAGGGAGAAGCGAGGAGGCCAGGGAAGGAATGAGGGCCGGCTGTGTGGCCTCACGGACCCCTCCAGCCTTCGCATTCCACCCGGGAAGGGAGCCCGTGCGTGTTCTGGGCGGAGGAGGGACCCGCCCGGCGTGACTTCACTGCGCAGCCCTCTCTGGCTGCCGTTGGGAGAAGAGACTGCGGGTTGGAGCAGCTGCAGTGGGATGGCTGGGGAGGTGGCTGCCACAGGCCAGGTGGGGGGTGACAGAGGCTGGGCTGGAGAGCATGGTGGAGGCAGGGGAGGGGTGAGGACTACCAGCTCTGACAGACAGCAGTTTGAATCCTGTGTCGTCCGTGAGCTCCTGCTTCCACATGGGAATAAACCTCAGCAACTCAGTGTCTGTCGAATGGGGGCTGCAGAGCCTTCCCCTCAGGGTGGTTGTGAAAATGAAGGAGATTAAAGGGACCAGGACAAAGGAGGTGGTCAGGAAACCAGTGGCTAATGGGAGGTACCCGGTGATGCTGGGAGGGGATCTTATGCTGAGTGCTCTGTCCCCATCCTAGGAAAACGCTCCAGGTGAAGATAGTGGATGATGAGGAATATGAGAAGAAGGATAATTTCTTTATCGAGTTGGGCCAGCCCCAGTGGCTTAAGCGAGGGATTTCAGGTGAGGGGTGCTGGGTTGGCTGTGGAAGAGATGAGAGGTCCAGGGTTGGGGGACCCTTAGGGGCGCTCCTTCAAGTTCGTGAATCTGAGCTTCATGGGGACGTGATCTCACCCTCTCCTGTCTCTGTCTCTCCCCAGCTCTGCTTCTCAATCAAGGTGAGTGGGGTCACCTCTGGGCTTCGAGTGGGGAAGAGCCTCTACAGGGGGAATCTCGGGGGAGGGCAGAGCCCTGATATACCCTTCCAGGTTGGGTGTGAGGCAGGCTGAAGGCGAGATAAGGGTGGATTTGGGGAAGGGGAAAGCTGGGGGCTGGCCTCAGTGGGCCAGTGTAAGTTTGGGGTTACAGTTAGAGGCTTTGAGGGTAACTTATGGTCAAGGCTGGAGGAGAAGTACCTCATGGACTCAGACCTGGGTTGGTGATGGGGTCAGAGAGAATCACATTGGGGTTGATGAAGACTGAGGTAGGGTTGAGAGTCGAGAGCAGTGTTAGGACTGGTCCGGATTAGAGTTGTTTTCTGGATTTGTGATGGGATCAGATCAGAGCCGAGTTTGAAATGAGTCATAGAGTATGAGGGATCTGGCTTAGAATTAGGGCCAGGGTCAGAGGTGGGGGTGGAGTTGGGGCTAAGGTCAGTGGCTTGGAGATGGTGACAGCAGTTTTGAAATCAAGATCAATATTGGAGTTTGGGGTTAGGATTAAGTTTGTACTAAAGATTTTGTTAGTTAGGATAAGCAGTACAAGCTGCTGTAACAAATAGTCCCATACATTTCAGGAGCTTAACACAATGCAAGTTATTTCTTGCTCTGGCAAAGTTTTGTGAGTGTTCCTGGTTGTGTGTGGCCTTCGTCTGCCATTAACCATCCCATCTTGTGACTCCACTGTGGTAGGGAGCTTTGCACTTTCTCTGGGCCCTCTGCTCACAGCTAGCAGCCAGGGCAAGCACTCAGAGGACCACTTGGGAATTTTTCACGGGACAAGCCTGGAAATATTTCCCATTACTTCTGCCCACATTCTATTGGCCGTAACTCAGTCACATGGCCAGGCCCAGCTGCAAGGAAGGCTGGGAAATCCAGGTCAGCCCTTTGCCCAGGAGGAAAGGAAACATGTTTGGATGAGCAGGTGGCAGCCGTGTTTGCCACAAGGTCAAGTTCTTTGTTAGTGAGGGTGTCTGAGTCGGGAGTTGGGTCTGAAGCTCGGGGGAAGGCCTGGAACTGGAGATAGGTTTGGCTTGGGGTTATTGGGGCAGATTGTGGGTAGCATTAGAGTCAGAGTTAAGGACAGACCGGGGTCAGTGAGGTTTGGAGCCAGCGACAGAATTACACCAGCATCACAGTTAGAACCTAGCTCAGAGTTGGACCAGAGTCAGGGTTGAGTTGGTGTCGGGGTTGGGGTAAAGGGTGTCCCCAGTACTCTGGGAGCGGGTTCAGGGCCACGGAGCAGGTGGGTCTGGGCCTGAGATTTGTACCCAAATCGGGTATCCTCCTCTTTCCTCACCACCTCAGACACACTCTAGGATGACTCCTGAGCTTGGATGTAGAGACCAGGCCTCTTCCCCAGGGTGGTGATGACGATGTTGGTGATGATTGTAAAGGAACTCACACTCACTGACACTCACCGCGTGCCAGGCACGGTTCTAAGCACGTCACATGAACTCACTCACTTAGTCACAGTCACCCTATGAGGTAGGTACTGTCACCGTGCCCGCCGTCGGGACATGAAGACGGAGGTACACAGGTCACACAGCCTCCACCATAGGAGCCCCAGAGCCCACGACCAGCTTCCCGGATCACCCGGGAGCTGGGTCTCAGGGCTGAGGGAGAGAGGGGTCAGGGGAGGCTGGGAGGGCCGCCGAGGAGGCTTCCCAGAGAGCAGCTAGGTGTTCTCCGTGTCTGGGCGCAGGTAGGAAGGCGCTGCAGGCCCAGCGAGGTAGCCTCCTGGAGGTCTGACCCCATCCCTCCCACTGCAGGAGACGAGGACGGGAAACTGAGCGTGGAGGAGGAGGAGGCTCGGAGGATAGCAGAGATGGGCAAGCCGGTTCTTGGAGAGAACTGCCGACTGGAGGTCATCATTGAGGAGTCCTACGACTTTAAGGTGATTTCCTGGGGCTGCGCCCGGCCATTTCCTCAGGGAGGGTCCGCACGGGGAGGAGCCACCATGTCCCACGGGCTGGTCGGCCAAGGGCCCGCGTCAGCACAGGGCTGTGCACGCATCTCCTGGTTTTAGAGTTTATTTCTTGAGGGGAAGGCAGGGAGGGACCCCCAACAGGGTTTTCGTGCCACAGGCCACCGCACCTTGGCCACCACTGAGGGCACACACGTGTGCCTGGCATGTGTGGGGAGGCCCTGGACACCGTCCCAGGCCCATCCCGCACGCGCCATCAGCTGGCCCCTCTTCTTGCTGGTAAGAAAGCCTGGGGCCCCTGAGCATGGGCTTTGAGCCCCCTCCCCAGGACCCTCATGGGCACAGATCTCTCCCGCCCTCTTGTCCCCAGAACACGGTGGATAAACTCATCAAGAAAACGAACTTGGCTTTGGTGATTGGGACCCATTCGTGGAGGGAACAGTTTTTAGAGGCAATTACGGTGAGCGCAGGTAAGTGGGAAGGGAGGAGAGAGGAGGGGAGGGATGGAGAGACAGAGACGTAGAGACAGAAGAGGAGAGGATGGAATGGAAAGACAGGGGAAGGAGAACAGAGCAAAGGGAAGCAGGCAGGAAAGACGCCGAAAGTGGCACAGGAGGAAAGGAGAGGCCGAGGAAGACAGGAGGAGCCAGAACAGTGCAGACAGACACAGAGGCAGTGACAGACAGACAGACAGGGACAAAGCATGAGCGAGAGTGCACGGCTCAGCACCCTGGGGATGGCTGGAGCGAGAGAGGCAGGTGGGCATGGAGACGCAGAAAGGCAGCTGCAGGAAGAACATGGGAGGGAGGGCGGATGGCGACGGGGCGGGCGGCGGGCGGTGGGCGGTGGGCAGGGAGGGTCCGGCTTTGGCTTTGGGTGGGAAGGAGGGGTCTGCCTGGGCTTTCCCTGGTGTCAGGCAGTGAGAGGGTGGGAGCAGGTTAAATTGTGTGGCCTCTCTAGACAGCCTGGGCTACTCTGTTGCCATGGAGACAGTTACCAGGGCACCCAGCTCTCCCACCTGCGTGGGTCCCCACCCTCCTGAGGCCTCAGATGGGCCCACACTGCCCCCCTGTGGCCAGAGGCACTATTACACAGATCTGATGGAGACCAGCAGGACCCTTCTGGAGAGGGTGGGGAACCCGCCTCTGAGCCAGAGCACTGACCTGAAGTCCCTCAGGGAGTCCAGAAAGGGGCCAAGGTTGGAACCCAGGGTCTCTGTCCTTCACACCACATCAGGTTTCCTTCAAAGAGGCCCAAACTGGTGGGGACTGAAAACTTACAAGGAATTGGGACCAGCAGATGGCGTAATGGTTATGTCACTGGACTCCCATGTAGTTGACAGTTCGAGTCCCAGACCCAGTGACTTTAAACTCATGCTGGGCACATGTGTGCGTGCTCAAAATTCCTAGAGGAGAATGGGGGAGAAGGGGTTGTGGCGTGGCCATGCACTCTGGGTGGGAGGTGATTTCTTGCTTTCTGTCTCTGTCTCTCTGGCAAGTGCACACACCCTGTAGCAAAAATTTCTTTTTTTTTAAAAAAAAGAATCATTTATTTATTATTATTTTTCAATCAATTTTGACAGATAGAAACAGAGAGAGAGAGCAAGCTGCTGGGTCCAGGACTTGAACCACAGCCAGCCATGTGGGAGTCCAGCACCTTTAGCCACCATGCCACCTGTCGGCACCAATCTCTCTTAAAAAGAGAAAACAAGAACAAAAACAAAAAGCCCACCCTTACGAGGAGTTGACAGGAGTGTCAGCCAGCCTCACAGCCTAGCGGTTAGGGAAGTTGGACACCAAATGACCGCCCGCGCGGCTCAGCTCCCAGGCCTGATAGCTTGAAAAGCACACTGAGCGCGTGAGTGTGTGTCCCAAATCCCCGCAGAGCAGAGAAACGAGAAGGGATTGTGGTGTGGCCTCGCCCCATTAGGGGTGCTTTCTTCCTCTCTCCCTCTCTTTTTCTGGCAAGCACACATATTCTTCATTAACTAAAAAAAAAAATTTTAAATAGGGACCAGGGGACCAGCAGTTAGTGTAACAACTATGTCGCTGGACTCCCATGAAGTGGACTACAGTTGGAGTCCTGGACCCAGTGGCTTAAACTCATGC